AAAAAAAAAAAAAAAAAAAAAAAAAAAAATAGAGGGCATTGGGAATAGGGCATCTGTACATCCAATTTGGTGTAGTTTAGAGCACCCAGTGTAGGTGCTGAAATTTTTATGAAGCCAAATGTTGTCTTGACTTCGAAAATCATCCAAGATTGTAAAGCAGAAAAAGGATGCAAACCTGCCCAAATTGATTTCTAAGACCATTTGTTTACCAGAACATGTGTTTTCAAAATGATTGAATTCATAGGCAGAATGTATATAACACATAGCACTAAATAAATGGCAGTCACTGGAAAGTAGTGAGATCCCAATAATAAACAAATATATATCATGCTGTGTTCTCTCTTTGGCTTGATTTATCTTCACGCAGTTAGGTGATTCAACAAGTGTAATTTATCATGTAAATTGAAACTTTTATAAATAAAATGTATAATTCAAAGGGGCTAACTCTGAGCCAACTAACCCAATTACAGGTGCTGACAAGCACTTCATTTGTCTGTACTGAAAGCATCCATGCTTTTGAAGCCATTGTTAGCTCTTTTGTCATAAGAATATATGACAGTTACTATCAGATTAGACTAGTGGCCCATATGGTCCTTTATCTTTATTGTGACAGCGACCAGTACCAGCTGCTTCAGAGGAAATTGCAAGAAATCCTAAAAAGGACAGTATGGAGAATTTTCTGTCTGAATGAACAATACTTAATAAACTGTGGAAGCTCATTTACATATTCTGCCAATTAGTTCCAGAAGTTGCACACCATGTCAAATGAGTTCCTTTGGTCAGTTATAGATGCCTTGTCTTCTAATTTAATTGCAAGTCCCCTGGTTTTTATCTTACGTGAGAAGGTAAATAGGCACATTTCATTTACTGTCTTACATCATTTGTTATATGCAATTTTGTCATTTGTCTCTTCTCTATGGAGTCTTTCTTTTTAATCTCTCCTCATATGACATATTTCAGGATACTTCCAGGCATTGTCATCTTCCTTCTATATAAACCTTTTCTGTTTTGAGATATGCTAATCAGGACTGAACACAATACTTCACATTAAGGCATACTGTGGACACCTATTGTTAAAACATGCAGTTATTTTCCTATCACCTAACTGCCATCTGTATGTTGGTTCATAGTGATGCCCATGTCTTTGGTCCCAGGATCATTTTTGTTTAGGAATCTTTTAAATTTTAACGGTAATTCCTGAAATAGTCCTCAGTGGCCTATAAATCCTAGTAGCTGTCTCTTTAAAGATGATTAGTTGCCCATAGTCCCCTTGTACAATAGCTGATATTAATGACTATATATTTCAGACCATTTTATTCTTTCAGAATACTTGGATGTACAGCAGCTAGTACTTATAACTTACTGCTCATTATCACTGTGTTCCAACATCTCAGTCACTGACACAGATTCATTTTCATTGCTTAACAAAAGGAGATCTTGAGTAGGCATCTTCTCAACATCAGTTGTATTGATTTCTTTGCAGAGAATATAATTTAACAAATAAATTCTTTATATTTGACTGTTTGCTCTTCAGATTTCCCCTGGATTTCCCTTATTTTAATGTTACATTTTTCAAGATGCAATTTAAACTTCTTTTATTGGCTTCACTTTCCAAAAAGTATATTTTTGATTTTGAAGCGCAGTTTTATTTCTTACTGTCATGACAGGTGCAGACAGACTTCTTAGTATTGTCTGGATGCTGCCTGGTTCACACAGATATGTCAGCAGAAGTTGTAGTCTGTAGTTAGTCTTTTATTACAGCACTGAACTAGGGCTTACGACAAGATTAGTAACAAGTTTAATCAGGCTTTCCTAATCAGGCTGAAATTTGACAAATCTAGGGAAAAATAAACCCATTTTTGCTGAAAGACAGTTGCATCTGGCTCTACAGTCAAAACCTTAATGTGTAAAGTAGGTTGAATGCTAAGTCTCTGCAGGGAGCAGCATACACCAGTAAGGGTGTGTTCTCCAAGTGTCTTGGGTCTCCAAGGGACTTTGTCTGTACAGTCTGCTACAGCAGTGCTTCTCAAACTATCTGATGTGGTGGACCGGCAATTTTTTTTCTGGTGGGCCAGGGACCGGTGCCTGGTTCAGCCAGTGGCAGCAACTGCATGTAACAGCACTACCCAAATGCGCGACCGGCTGTTTCTTTCTCTTTCCTCACCTCACACGACATGATGTCACCTGGAGTGTTGGAATGTACAAACTGTGGTGCTATGACATATCAATGTTATGCTTCTGAAAAAATAAGTCTTTCTTTCCTGGCAACTCGCTGCGGACCAGCGAATATATTTCTTTCTTTCCTGGCAACTCGCTGCAGACCGGCAACCGGTGGCTCGTGGACCGGCACCAGTCCATGGACCACCACTTTGAGAAGCACTGTGCTACTGTGTTTTCCAGATTTTTGATAACTGGGACACACCTTTTTTCTAGGTTAGAATTGGTGGCACACTTCACTCTTAACACCTGAAAAGGAAAGGGGTGGACAACCTTTTGGCATGCAGGCTGGATGAGTGACATTGGGTCAGTCTGCAGTCCTGATATTGCCCCACACAGCTTGGAAATTAGGTATAAGAGGAGCAGTGGTAGTGTTAATTACCACTGCTCCTCCACCACCAAATTTCTAGATCTGTGCAGAACCCCATGGGCTGGATGACAGGGCTCCTGCCAGACCTGGTACTTAAAATATATCATTTTTGGCAGCATACTTCCACTGCTCTGCCACAGCAGGCCTTTTAGGAATTGCTGGTCTATTCAGAACCACCTGCATGTACCAAGGAAAGGGGTATCTTGCAACTTGCTTCAAGCAGTTTGCCCAACTACCTGTGGCAGTTTTCAGGTGGCTTAACTCAAAACCACCTCTGCCTTACCACGTTCCCCATGTGTGCTAGGGAAGAAGTTCTTGTCCACTTCAGTGGATCATGTCAATCCCCAGTTTCTCTGCCTAGCTAAATCCAACCCAAAGCCCTTGGGAATGGGCTTGGGTGGGGAAGAGAAAGGGGTGCTTAGAAATGAAGGCAATAAAATTTAAGATAGGTGTGGAATGCATATGTTCCTGTGCAGTAATAAATGGGAACCTATATCAAAGCAAGCAGACTGTTAAAAGAGGTGTCTTTTTGAGTTTGCAGACTGCTTAGGTACTACCTTTAGAAACAGCTTTTTACAGGTATTATTAACCTCCAGCTTTTCTAAACCTGAGAATCTTTAGGCTGGGGTTTTGATGGGAAGTGTTCACAAGGAGATTTCTATCCTGAAGAGCCATAATGTACCAAAAGGAAGAAGCAGTGTGAGGCGGCTGCCTGTAACACTGCAAAACTTACTACAGAGAGGAAATAGGAGTAGTGAAGAGTCCCTGAATTGCATTGTCACCATTACTGACTCCAGCTTTATCATGCAACAACTGTAACTAAATTCAGTGAGAAGATTATTAGTGTGTTCCTGCTGAATACACAGTTTTGCTACATAATTTTTACTACATATTACTACATCATAAGCTCTACATAATTTTTTTTTTCTTTTTTCCTTTCAGTCAGAATCCTTTCCTAGTGGCTGCATTTGGAGCTTGTTCTCTTACAAGGCAATGTAACAACCAAGCCTTTCAGAAATTTGGACGTTCAATGACTGCCTCTGATATGGTTTCAGAAGTTGGAACAGCTTTTAACAAACTTTTTGAAACCTGAAGCCAAAGCAGCAGAGAGGAAGATGAGGAAGAATAATGGCTGCAACAGTAATTAAATTTACAGTAGAATTTACATAAGTAATGCACCCTTTCAAGTGCTGTAGCAGCATTGGTATGCTAGGTAGATTTTTTTATTTTTAAGAATAGAAAAATATGATTAATGTAGATATTTTTTAAGAGTTTGGAATACAAAAATGTTTTGGCTGAAATAAGCTGTAGTTGCAGATCTGTTATAATATAATAAAACTAAACTGAAAGTATTCCTGTTCTTTTTCATAGTTATTGAGCAATAACTAAAGTGTGTGCGAACTGCAAAAATGCACTTGATACTTATAATGAAAGTAAAATTCTTCCACCAGCTCAACAGAATTTCTTGGCTTACACCAAGGATGTCATGATTTTGTTCTTAGACTGTGTTTCTAGGACTAACTGCTGCACTTCATTTTTCTCCATGCTGTTTTCCCTTTATTTAACTAGGTCTCTTCGGGAAAGGAATGTTTCAAATGTAATTGGTTGTTTCAAATGTAATTGGTTGCCTTTGCTCATTCCTAGTCTCTGAGGTGTCATTCTTTGAATTTTAGGTTCTCTTTTTTTTCCCCTTAAAGAAAAAAAAAGAGGATCAACATGTTTAAAAACTAGTCCCAAGCCCCCTTAGAATAAGGTCTTACTGTAGAAGCGTCAGCATGAGACATAGGAATTATGCTTAGCTGAATTTATTTACTTTATATTCCATTACTGTTCTGGATTAGTCTAGAATGTAATATGAAAAAATGTGAAATTTAGTGATTCAGAGAGGTACTAGGCGTGGTGAGAAACAAGTGATATTTAAACTGGTCACAAATGTCAGTGGTGATAAGAGATTGAGTGCTTTTAGGCCAGTTATGTGACTCCAATTGCTGGACTGTGGCTGGATTGCTGGGTCTGAGAACATTAGCGTATATATGCATCTACAGCTATTAATCACCAGCATAAATATTAATTGAAGGGACGAAAGGCAGAAGGCTGCATTTAATTAGGCTGCATTAGTGGCATGCAGGCAGTCAAATGCAGCTAGCTCACTAAAAGACTCTACTGGGGGCAGGGGATTGATGAAAATGACAGTTGTCAAGCTTCAACTGTAGCAGCTGAGTTTTTAAAGGCTTTTGCTTCATCATCATAACAGTGGAAGCACTTAGTGTCATGGAGGAAGTGTTCATGGTTTCATTTGTATCTTGCTAGCTGGATGAATTAGATGGCAGAACTCTTCTAAAATCAGGAGCTGTGTGGGATTTGATGGAGTCTGGGTTTCTTTAAACTTCAGAAATTCAGCCTTAGCGCATTGGGAGAGAACTAATTTCAGGGGGGAAACAAAATCAAATACATTTCTTACACTTTCAGTAAGTACCAACTTGTGTGGCCCTATGATCAACATATAACGTAATGTACATACTAGAGTGTAGGAACAAGCCTAACGATGGCATATTATCACATGATATGTGTCCATGTCAACCACTTTTCCAGTGGCCTGTTTCTACAATGGAGTTTGATACCATACACATTAGTCAGATTGCACTTCAGCCTCTTGTATAGCTTCCTGCAGTGAATACCTGAAATCAAAAGGCTGCTCTGAATATGTCCTTACCCTTATAATTAATATTGTTGGATGCACTGTGACGACTACCTCACCCCAATGCATTTTGGTTTTTCCTTTTAAACTGGTTACCTATTTTTAAAATGGGTTTTTAAATAATGTTGGCTCATTCTGTTCTGTCAGGGTTCTAATATTTTTTTTTTTAAATAAGAGCAAATGGTCTCCTCACAAAAGATGAATTCACAGTGTATTACAATTACACTGTTTTGTAAACTTTCCTTGGAGGGAAAGTAAACTATTGCTTTCTCCCTTTGGAATTATTTTGAACCCTGATTCCAGAAATCAGAAAATTAAACTGTTTTAAAACAGCTGTCAAATCTGTTTAAGATATTTTTTTTTGTATTTGGAGCATAAATAGTATTATTTCTAACTTACATTTGTAGGTAAAGCCAAATCAGTGAAGACTTTTTTTTCCCTCAAAATGAAATGGCTTGGTATCAATGATCAGTATGGATTTGTTTTAACAATACACAAAGTTGTAACTTTGTAATTCCCCAATGTATACCAATTGTTACCATTTAATTTTAAAAATTCTGAAAATGTAGCAATTTCTTTCCATAGGAAATAAAAATATAGCAAATGAAACAACTGTTGTGTACTTTGTTTTAAATGATCCAGGCACAATACCCATAGAAGCTAAACTGATCCATCTTCTAGATGTCACCCTCCATATCCATTCAGTGTCATTGCTGATAGTGTTGGTACAACCAATGGCAATTTTTATTATTACAAAATTATCCAAAGTAAGCATGTGTATACGTACATGACAAAGAGAGATGGTTGTTCCCCAGCCTATGCACACTTAAAGGAGGCAGGAAAATACCTAGGCATGATGACTGACTTTCTGTTCACAGATGCTGTTAAAGAGCAAATATTCAGCCTTTGAATATATTAAAGTACTGCTGCTGGAATGCACATTTTCAGAAGAGAGCCTTGTAGATCATTCAGCGTTCTCATTTTCTCCCCATATGTCTTTGCTGAATTTGAATATGAAAGAACGCTTTGCCAGTAAAGAGAGCTCAGACACTGGAATCTGACCAGGTCTTCGGTGCCAGAAGTTAAAAAGGCTATGCCTAGCCCAGTACCCATCACCTAAACCATCCACTTAATATTTTTTTGGTCACATTAAAAATTAAGTGCCTTAATTGGAAAGGGGACACTGTTCTTTTGTCTCATTAGAAATGCTAAGTGTCTGCAGAAATAAGCATGGCTGAAGTATGAGAGCCAATTTACTCTTCTGTTCCATTCTCATTCTTAAACTGCTCCCAAGTTTCAACTGCAGGGCCATAGCACAGGCTTGTGCAAGTCAATTAACTTCCATTCCTTTTATTATGCATCTACTTATCTTGCAGGGTTGTTTCTTTAAAAAACTAGTGACTGGACAAATAAGGTATTTATGAAAACGTTTTCTAATTCTGAACATTTCTGCATTTGTTAGGGAAGCCTGCTAATGTATTTTTATGCAAAAATGAATTGGAAATGTATGCAGCTTGAATTCAAAACAGACTTACAGGTAAGTTGATAGCATCTTTTACTTAACATGATTATAGGTCTCACAGGGCAAACCTATAATTATCTAAGATGGAAATACATCAAGACTGAGAGAGTCAACCTTGTGCTACACCTGAGAAGTGTTATAGTTAAACCTAAGGGCAGAAGAATAATTATTCCCTTCTCTCTAAAGGGTTGTAACCTCTTCACTTCATCCCTATCACTTCTTGTTAACTTGCCGGCTGATTCAGCAAGTTGGTCTGCCAAAGTTACTATTTGCTGGAGTGGGGGAAGGGAGGATTTCCAGAAGTGGGATGTGTTAAGACTTGTTCCAGGCAATATTTCCATTCCACACCTAGCTTCCAATTACTAACCTGTCCTTGAACTAAGGGGGCTGGGCTTCTTTATAGGCTGAAGGAACGCTGAGGACACCAGCCCAAGCATGTACATGGCATCTTTGTAATTCTGTGTGTATATATACTGTACAGTGCACCCACTTTGCACACCCTGGGTAAGTGCGTAATCACTTAACCGCACAATCACTTAATACCTTGCAAGCAGTTTACAGGCCAGTTTGTGCCCCCACCCTTTTTGAGAGGCAAGCCTTTCAGCTTGATATGAGGAAGCTGGAAAAAAGGAACCCTTTGGGGCCAACAAGCAATAAACAGGCCAGCTTCCAGGTGAGTTTGCTAGGGAAGGTGTGCTTGGAAAATGAGCAGTGAAAGAGAAGGCAGTTTAAGACACTCAGGGAAATGGCTGGAGGACGTTGCAATGCCAGAGCCACTGCCACTGCTTCTGCTTGCACCTGTGAGGTTTCTGTCCAGGCAGAATCGCTCACCATCAACACTTCCATCCAGGTCCAGGTATGACACTATGCGACTTGCAGGTTTCTTCTAGTGACGGCCAGGTAAGGAAGTGCCTGCGATGTGAACGGTGCCTCCTGGTGGTGTCTCTCAGGGAACAGGCAACAGGACTACAGGAGGAGGTAACGAGTCTCTGAAGCATCCTCAGCCATGAGGCATTCATTGATTTGATGCTGGAGGAGACCTCCAGGACTGTGGAGTAAGAAATATCAACACTAAAGAAGAGAGAGGACATGGACACCCAAGAGTGTGGAAACTGGAGGCTTGTGACTTCTGGCAGCAAGCAGAGATGTTCACCTCCACCTGCAGTGGTTCATTTGGAGAACAGATAAGGGAGCCCTAACAAAAGAGAGGGAGGAGCACGTTCCATTCCAGGCCTCACCAACGTGGGAAAGATTGAGATGACTGCCACCAAAAGGAAGTGATGGTGGTGGTGGCTGGAGACTCCCTGGTGATGGCGAGAACCATCTGCTGACCTGACCTGCTGTCTTGGGGAGTCTGCTGCTTGCCCAGAGCCTGGATCAAGATGTCATGGAGGGACTACCAATGCTCATCCAGCACTCTGACTACTACCTGTTGCTTCTCATCCATGTGGGCACCAATCATACTGCCAGGGGAGACCCTGAGCATATCAAAAGTGATTACAAGGCTCTGGGTGCAAGGGGGAGAGGGGAGGGGGCTGAAGTTCTGTTCTCATTGAAACTTCCAGTCAAGGGAAAGGGCCTGGGCAGAAGCAAGAGCATCCTGCAGATCAACACCTGGCTGTGCAGGTGGTGTTGCCAGCAGGGCTTTGGCTTCTTCAACCATGGGATGTTCTTCTAAGAAGGAGGATTGCTGGGAAGAGATGGGATCCACCTGACAAAAAGGAAAGAGTGTCTTTGCAGACAGGCTCACTAACCTAGTGAGGAGGGCTTTAAACTAGGCTCACCAGGGGATGGAGACCAAAGCTCTGAGGTAAGTGGGGCAGTGAGAGACCTAAAGGAAGAGCAAGCAGGAGAAGGCAACAGGCAAGGAGTTCTCATACTTCCTGAGAATCTGGACAATCAGCTAGTTACCTCGGGTGCCTGTACACAAATGCACAGAGCCTGGGAAATGAGTAGGAAGAACTGAAAGTCCTTGCATCGTCACAGAACTATAATGTGACTGGAATAACGGAGACTTGGTGGGAACTCGCATGACTGGAGCACGATCGTGGATGAGTAACTGTTCAGGAAGGGCAGGCAGAGGAGAACAGGAGGAGTTACATTTTATGTAAAAGAGCCATATGGTTGCTCAGAGCTCCAGTATGAAACTGGAGATACACTTGTTGAAAGTCTCTGGGTTAGGGTCAGTGGGAAGATCAATGAGGATGATGTCATGGTGGGGATCTGCTATAGACCACCAGACCAGGAGGAAGTGGTGAATGAGGCTTTCTTCAAACAGCTAGCAGAGGTTTCCCAATCACAGGCCCTGGTTCTCATGGGGACTTCAATCACCCTGACATCTGCTGAGAGGGCAATACAGCAGTGCACAGGCAATCCAGGAAGATTTTGGAGAGCGTAGGGAACAACTTCCTGGTGCAAATACTGGAGCAGCCAACTAGGAGCCATGCTCTTCTTGACCTGCTGCTCACAAACAGGGAAGAATTGGTGGGGAATGTAGTTGTGGATGGAAACTTGGGCGGCAGTGCCCATGAGATGATTGAGCTCAGGATCCTGAGGAAAAGAAGGATGGAGAGCAGCAGAGTAAGGACCCTGGACTTCAGAAAAGCAGACTTTGACTTGCTCATGGAACGAATGGGCAGGATCCCCTGGGAAGAAAGTCTGAAGGGGAGAGGAGTCCAGGAGAGCTGGCTGTACTTTGAAGAAGCCTTACTGAGAGTGCAGGAACAAACCATCCCAATGTGCAGGAAAACTAGCAAGTATGGCAGAAGACCAGCTTGGCTTAGCAGGGAACTCTTCAGTAACTAAATCACAAAAAGGAATCTTAATAGAAGTGGAAACTTGGACAAATAACTAGGAAAGAACATAAGAGTATTACTTGGGCATGCAGGGATGAAGTCAAGAATGCTAAAACACAATTGGAGTTGCAGCTAGCAAGGGATGCAAAGGGTAACGGGTTTCTACAGGTATGTCAGTAACAAGAGGAGGATCAGAGAAAGTGTGAGTCCTTTACTGAATGGGGGAGGCAACCTTGAGACAGAGGATGCAGAAAAGACACTGAAGTGTTCAATGCCTTTTTTGTCTCAATCCTCACAGGCAAGGTCAGCTCCCAGACTACTGCACCAAGCAGCACGGTTTGGGGAGCAGGTGGACAGCCCTGTGATGAAAGAACAGGTCAGGGACTATTTAGAAAACCTGGATGCGTACAAATCCATGGGGCTGGATGAGATGCACCCAAGAGTGCTGAGGGATTTGGCTGATGCAATTGCAGAGCCACTGGCCATCATCTTTGAAAACTCATAGCAATCAGAAGAGGTCCCTGATGATTGGAAAAGGGCAAACATAGTGCCCATATTTAAGAAAGGGAAAAAGAAGGAGCTAGGGAACTACAAACCAGTGAGCCTCACCTCAGTCCCTGGAAAAATTATGGAACAAATCCCTCAAGAAATCTGTTTCTAAGCACTTGGAGGAGAAAAAGGTTATTAGGAACAGTCAGCATGAATTCACCAGGGACAAGTTATGCCTGACCAATCTGATTGCCTTCTATGATGAGGTGACTGGCTCTGCAGATGTAGGGAGACTGGTGGATGTGGTGTACCTTGATTTTAGCAAGGCTTTTGATACAGTGTCCCACAACATTCTCACTGGCAAGCATAGTAGTATGGGCTGGATGAATGGACTGTAATGTGGATAGAAAACTGGCTGGAGCATCAGGCTCAGAGTAGTAATCAATGGATCTATGTCTAGTTGGCAACTGGTGTCAAGTGGAGTGACTCAGGGGTCAGTCCTGGGGCTAGTTTTTTTCAGTGTCTTCATCAATGACCTGGAAGATGACAAAGAGTGCACCCTCAGCACGTTTGCGGATGACACCAAGCTGCGGGGACTAGTAGACACACTGGAGGGTAGGGCTGGAATTCAGAGTGACCTAGATGAATTGGAGGATTGGGGCAAAATGAATCTCATGAGGTTCAACAAGGACAAGTGCAAAGTCCTGCACTTAGGATGGAACAATCCCATACACCAGTACAGGCTGGGGGCTGACTGGCTGGGCAGCAGCTCTGCAGAAGACCTGGGGGTTACAATGGACAATAAGCTGAATATGAACCAGCAGTGTCCCCTTGTTGCCAAGGTGGCTAATGACATACTGGGCTGTATGGGTATGGGTGTTGGCAGTAAGTCAAGGGAAGTGATTATTCCCCTCTATTTGGCACTGGTAAGGTCACATCTGCAGTGCTGTGTTCAGTTTTGGGCCCCCCCACTACAGAAAGGATGTGGACATATGGGAGAGTCCAGTAGAGGGCAACAAATAGTGAGGGGGCTGGGGGACACGTCTTATGAGGAGACTGAGGAAACTGGGCTTATTTAGTTTAGAAAAGAGAAGACTCAGAGGGGATTTAGTAGTAGCCTTCAACTACCTGAAGGGGGATTGAAAAAGGATGGAGCTAGACGGTTCTCAGTGGTGGCAGGTGACAGAACAAGGACCAATGGTCTCAAGTTGTAGCAAGGGAAGTTTAGGTTAGATATTAGGAAGAATTTTCTCAGTAGGAGGGTACTAAAGTTGTGGAACAGGTTACCCAGACAGGTGGTGGAAGCTCCAGCCTTAGAGGTTTTCAAGACCCGGCAAGACAAAGCTTTGGCTGGGTTCTAGTTGGGGATAGTCCTGCTTTGAGCAAGGGTTTGGATTAAGTGACCTGAAGTCCCTTCCAATCCTAATTTTCTCTGATTCTATAACAAAATACCAGCCCCAGTTTGTTGCCTATTGTTTACATTGTAACAGATTTCAGCTATCCACCTGTTGACTGAATGCACTAATCTCTAAATCAGTGGTACTTGACCTAGGGCCCAAGGAATTGCCAGCTGGTCCAAAAATTTGACAGCAGGGGGAGCGGTGACATTAATTGCCATAGCTCCCCTGATGTCAGATTTCCAGGGCTGGGGCTAGATAATGTGGCCCTATGCACTGGCTCGCATCAACAGATAGTGTTGCTCTCTGTTCATATCCAGCTTGCAGAGCTAGGCAAGCACAATTGTTCCATACTGGATCTGACATGTAGGTCAGGGCCAGCATGCCAAACAGCACCTGCAGACATCAACTCTGCACTGGCTCAGGCCTAGGGCCTGACCCTTTTTGCAGGATCCAGCCCCACCCCCACTCATCCATCCCCCAAGGACAGAAAGGGAGAGGACCAGTGGGCATAGCATATTTCAGACTCATCCGTTTTGTAACTTCAGTTGTGTGGTGGCCAACTGCACAGTAACAATAACTGTCTATGTGCTCAATGACTCTGCTCTAGCACTTTCTGGAGTGATGGGAGAAGCAAGTGTAAAAGAGCAGCTATTAGAAGCCTTGAAAATGAAAGCAGAAAATCAGTTTTAGCACTGACCTACCACAGCTGTGTGGTTAATGCACCTTAAGTACACGGCTGTCAGTGCAGAGGTATTTAGCAGCTGCAATATAGACTTGCTTCTCTATTTTCAAGGCTTCTAAGAACAGCCCTGAAACTACTAGAAGCCTTGAAAATGGGAGGAATTAGGGGATGCTGACAGCTTGTATTTATGCAGCAGTTGCACTGAGTTTGGTTAAGCACACGGGGTACCTGTACAGGTGTGGAGAGGCAGTTCTAACACACTTATAGTGCATTGGAGGAGACTCAATTAATCAAGTGTGCTGGTGCATGGTAATAAGCATGACCCAGCCAGCCTCTGCCTCATACATCAGCATCCCCATGCTTCAAAATGACAGCAGGGGTGCTTTAACTAAAGCTTGTTTGACTAGCTTTAGTTAAAGCGCCCCCGGCACCTGTTTGAAGTGCAGGGTCACTGATACACAAGACTGTGCAAACACCTTCATTAGAGTGGCTCTTTGAGCCGCTCTAAAGTGCCCCACCACCATAGCTCGTGTAAAAATTAGGCTTGTGTTGTGGTGCTTAGGTCACCGATTCAATTTGGCTGAAATTTGGCCTGATTCGGTGGCCAAGTTTCCGAATTGAATTAGGAGAGATTCTAGAATTTGGACATAAACACAGCTTTATATGTTTTTTCTACATACCTCAAAGGAATCAGGTGGCTCGTGAACACTGAGATGGTAAGGCAGATAGAGCATCCCATGGGAGCACAAGGGAGTCCCCAGCGTGCTTGGTGGCAAACCCGGAAGTAGACCAGAAGCTCTTCAGGTCCACTTCCAGGTCTGCCAGAGAGGACCCCTCCCAAGTGACTGGTGCTTCCTGGGTCTGGGGGGGCACCCAGGGTCCTCCCATGGCCAATCATAGTTCCAGTCCACTGTCAAGCGCACAAGAGGCCCCCCTGTGGTCCTGTGGGACATTCCATCCACCCCAGCATCTCAGTGTTCACAAGCTGCACCTGGTACCTCAAGGTACATAGAAAAAACATGCAATGCTGTGTCATTGGTTACGGGTTTACAGGACAAGCCCTATGAGGAGAGACTAAGGGACCTGGACCTCTTTGGCCTCCACAAGAGAAGGCTGAGAGTTGATCTCGTGGCTGCCTATAAATTCATGGGGGGGGGGGTGTAGAACTGGAGATGCTCTGTTCACCAGGGCACTTTGTGGGGTAATAAGGAGCAATGGTCACGAACTGACAGAGCAGATTTAGGCTAGACATCAGGAAAACTCCATGGTGAGGATGGCCAAATCTTGGACTGGGCTTCCAAGGGAAGTAGTGCTCTTCCCTACCTTGGTGGGCCTTTAAGAGAAGGCTGGATAAGTATCTGTCTGGAGTCACTCTTTTCTGCGCAGGGCAGGGAGTTGGACTCAATGATCTGTTGAGGTCCCTTCCAACCCTAGTATCTATGACTCTATGGCCAAATCTTCAGATTAGGATTCAGCCAAATCAAAAAAAAAATAATCAGGATACTGATCTGAATCAACAAATCTAATCACCATCCCCTGAATCAGGCCAAATCTGAATTGAATACAACCCACTTTGCACACCCCTAGTAAGAACACCCAGGGGCTTTTGTTTCAGTCTAGCAGCTATGCATCTAAATGAAGTATGCCATAACTTGAACGCCCCAGAGCAGGCAATTTTGCTAAAATGTTCCGTCCAACAGTGAAGCCCAGTGGGAGAGGTGAAAGATCACTCCTGCAGGTTCTGCAAGCACAAACAACCCCTTTGGCATTCTTAACCTGTTTTTTTTTCCCCCCAGCCCCACCTGCAGGGGAAGGCGAAGCCTATGTAGAGTGCTGTTGACTGATATTATGCATAAATCTAATACTCTAGTAGCAAGGTATAAAGCAGTTTCTAACCTACGTGAATTCTCAGTGTTTTTCAACCAAGCATTTTCTCTGAAATTCAGCAGCTCTTGTTTTCTAAATTTCCTTACTATTGGGATCATAGTTTTTATGCAGTCTTAGAAGGCAACGCTTCCAAAAGCTGGCTGCTCTCAGTGCCAGCTGCAACTGAATTTGTTTTCAAATGCTTTTTCCCCTGAGTCTGGGTGTCAAATGCTGCTCATTCAAAAACAAAAGTGGCTTCCTTTTAACAGGAGCAAGTGTCACATATCTCTGCCATCAATCTGAAAAGCCATTTGAGACTAGGTGGCCTCCAAGAGAAAAGATAGAGGACTAATTTCAACTCATTCAAGCAGGAGGGTAACAGCATATCTACAGCATGCAAGATGGTGTCTGGTTTTGACACACTAGCCCTGCATATACCTAAACCAGAAGTCAGCTTGCTGTACTAGGCAGCAGTTGTTGGCATGCATGCAGCACTCCAGTGGCATCATAACTATACTGCTTTTGTTTTGTGCATACCTCTGTATGGCACAGCATCTCTCAGCAAGAAGTTGGCTTGAGCTACACGTGCCTTCCAGTCAATCTTGAGTTTTATCAAAAACTATTGGTCTGGTTCTAATGGAGTGGCTGTGCAGTCAGCAGCAGCCATCCAAAATGTGGAGGTCACAAAACCTGTATCCATTTAACACATGCTGAAGATGGCTCAGACCACATACTTGGGTTTAAGTTCTCATTTTCACAGTAATTGCTGCATTATTATTTAGTAACATAGGTTGGTTTTGTTCAAATACCATCAGTTTAGCTCATTATGTCACTGCAGGAAAAAAGAAAATAAAACAATGCCATTTTAATAAAGAGAATTGTAGCAAGACTGGTATTGCTTCAGGTTACCACAATATTAATTACAGCAACTCTTGTAGTTTGCAGTTCCTTTCTGAAGTTTTTATTTGGAAATAGTTAATATCTACATCCGTTCCTGAAGTGACCAATGTCATACGATCAGTCCAAGCACGTCCTGTGCTAAATCATCTCTCTCTTTCAGTTCTTTGCTGTTCTCTTCTTTGATCCACAGCTTCCCACGTAGAAGTAGCCCCCCTGTCCTGTAAGAATAAGTAGGTCAAACACACCATTTTAATTACACATGGTACTTTGCATCGGCCTACGTTTTATTCTGATCCTTACAACATGTTACAAGCAGTCTAAAGACATGAAATTCAACCAAAATATTAGTTACAACATTTCAGAAGAGAGAGTTCTTTGAAGCTCAGTTAAAAAAAAAAAACAAAAAACAAACCTCTCAAAAGTAAGGTTATTGATGTTAAAGAAAAGGGGTGACAAAATTTTATAACTATTACTGTATTCTTCAAATTTATGACGACTTTGAATTTAAGACACACCTAACTTTTCTGACTAAGAAAATAAGCCCTCAAATAAAGACACTCTTACAAGGATCTACGTTCTATGGTGGACTACAAGAGCTTTTTTCTTTGAGTGTTTAAAAAAAACAAACAAACTTAAGACTTGGGCATTTTTCAGAGTATTTCTTTTTAAAAAGCGACTTACATTTGAAAGAATGTGGTGCTTGATTTTATTCAGTCTCTTGAATTATGGGGAGGAGATTGGAGGAAGGGGGGCACTGATTTGCTCAGTTTATTCTGGTACTTAGTTGAAGCAATTATTGCCACTTCAGTTCTAAAATTTTGTTAAACCCAGTTTCAAGCACAGGTGGATTGAATGCAGAAGGCTGCAATGCCTTCTTTCCAGTCCATAATGTTACACTTGATGGCCTTGGATTAACAGAAAGGTCATCAAGTTTTCATGTTTAAAATTATCTCCTTCCTGATCATTAAGAAAAAGAAATTGCACATAAATATTTTTCTTTTTAAACTTTAGAAGGATGCTGGCTTAGTAAGGTCGTGTTTCTAAGACAGTATTTTCTTATTGCTGAGGCATTACAAAAGTCCAACTAAATTCCGTCCTCTTATAACATAGCTGTTGTACTGCAGTTGGGGAAAATGCACTCAGACTGGCAATTTCAACTAATGAGTTCTCAAATCTAGGGAGTCTGATTACTGGTCATGAACCATTTAAGGAGAAGTGCAGACCCGAGTTTGATAAGAAATGTAAAATGGTCATATGGAGTTGTATAGAACACATGTAGGTCAACTTAACACAAAACATGCCAGGGTCAGTTTTGTGTTGGGTAGGTTCAAAGGTTCCGATAAGTAAATGAGCTCAGGCTAACACAAAGGGCCAGATTTAACGCAAGCCTGTAGGTGCCTGCCCCCACCCCACCCTCAGTGGGATCCAAGATTTAGAATTTCTTCATGCAAGACATAAGGAGTAAGGTCCCTCAAAAAGGTAAGAAATGCCCCCATACACACACAGGAAACAAAGCAGAGGGAAATGTGCGTTTGAAATTCTGCCCCTTCTTTTCAAGTTTATGTGCCTCCACCCACTTGAGGCTCACAGCCCTTTCCTGAGGGTAGGCACCCACAACTGTTTTTTTTCCCCAGGAGAAGCAAGCTGGGCTCATGCTACAGAACACAGTCCTGGAGGAGCAGATGGTTGCGCCAGTGGCTAGAGCACTCACTCAGGAAGTTGGCAATCCAGATTTGATGCCCAAAACCCCATCCTCCCCTTTATAGAACAGAACCCTCCCCACTAGGCTATACGTTAAGTGAATCGCCACCTTAACAAGTACTAGCTTCCCAACTACTGCAACTGGTTCCCTGTGCAGACAGGGATGCAAAGTGTCTTGCATGAGGCCAGTCAGAAAGAGAGGGCACAGAAGGTAGCAACTGTGTAGCCCATAAGCAGGATTTGGATCACAGCATTTTTTTTTCAGGACATGTTTTGTGGATTCTGTAGCCGTTCTCCAAGATTGCCCACTAGATTGGGATCTGGAGGGGAGCTAGGCAGAGGAGAGCCTGCCTAGTTTGTTGTTCCAAAAGATCCCAGGTGATCAAAACTGCTACCATGGAAGCCACTGACAGCATGCCTAGAGGCAGATTTCAGTACCTCCAGGGGTATGGAAGCCACCATCCGAGCATTTTGAAGATCTCACATTTTGAAAGTCTGTATTTTGAAACAAGGTGGGACATGCAGGGTGGGAATGGACAATCACCTGACTTCTCATTTGTGCTGCCATAAAAATGTTTACGGCAGCACAAATGCTGAGCAAATAGATGTTGATACCCTTTGTGCACCACAGGAAAAACAACAGGGACGTAACAAAAGGTGGTAATAGACACTGCTGCTTTACTGCAGTGGACATCTATTGCCTTTGTGGCAGAAGAGTACAACAGCTTGTATGCCTGCCACCCCAGGCAGGTGCAGAGCACCTGCCTGCTTTCCCTGCTTACAGGAAGGATCCCCAGGAAATCTTGGGTGCTGCTCCACAAGTGGGGAAGTCATGGTGACCTGCCCAGCCAGACCCATTCCTCTGCAACTGTAGAGGAGTAGGTCTGGCTGAGCAGGGAAGTGTTTTTCCCCGGTCAGTCAGACTCATCGCCCTGGCAAGTCCTGGGGAATGGTCTGGCTGAGCAGGAAAAGTGAGGAGATCCCATTATCCCCTGTCCAGTGCCATCAAGGGCAGGAGAATGGGCAATATGTTTTTTAGCCAATAAATTAGATCAGCTGTGCCATGATGTATCCTGGTACAGCTGATCAGCTTCATTCAGCAACATCTGTTTCTAGCCACAGGGGATTATGCTGAATGTCAAAACTGTAAATGCTTGAATTGTGAAACAGTGGGATGGATCCTGGCTGAGGCCAGATTTTGTAATAGGGCAAAAAATAGCCATAAAGCTAAATTCACATCCTGCAAACAGAAAGAGATACCAAAATAGAGTAAAAAGGGAGAGAGAGAGTGAGCAAGCAGTTTCTCTTACTGTTATCATCATATTTTGAGTACAGTTTTGCATTGTACTCTGCATATTATACAAATCTAAATAATTCTACTTACTACCTGTTTACGATGCTTAAATTAGGAATATAAATCCTGGGCACAATTGCCTGTCTTTTTAAAGACAACTCTGAAAAAATAAAAACAGCAGGTAAGATTCTAGCTTTCTGGAATGGTAGTCCTTTCATAAGCATCACACAGCAGTGTGCACTGCTTTGAGACCATAATGGTGGACACACAAATCCTTTTTACACTGAATCAGGATCTAATTATTTACAAACAAACATCTCAGTATATTGTTTCAGAACTAGTGAATGGGAAACAAATGTTTTTGTCACTTAAGAGCTGTAAGTTGCCATTCCAAGTTACAAATATCAGTGGTATCCTCCTGCCTATAAAGTGATGCAAGATAAAAAGTATGAGCCTTGGGTCACAAGGTAGGAAGACAACAAAGAAAAGAGTGCTTTAGAGGGGAAAGAGGTGCTCGGTAGGAAGCAACTGGCAATTCCCTGTACTGGGAGTGATATATAGAATAACAGAGGCTGAAGCAAAAAGGTGAAAAGGGCAGTAAAGCAAGAGGAATTGTGAGTAATAGCATTAGCTAAAGTGAGCTCACGTAGGGGTCTTCAAAGCACAGGGAGACAGTAAGCCAATGAAGAGATTTTTCACAAGGGGGGGAAGCCATGGCTTCACTAATGGAAAAGGAAAATTAACAGTGGCATTAGGGATAGGCTGGAGGCAGAGAGAGGGCTGGAAAGGAAAGAGGGCAGTTAGAAAAATCAAGTGATTAAGGATTTGACCCAGCTGGGCTAGCGTGGAAGGAATAGAGCTATTAAAGAAGCGAGAGGACTTTTCATAGAGTTTTGCACAGACTTAACTGCTGAAAAAATTCTCTTTTCTCTCCAAACCTGGAGTTAATGAAGAGCACTAAAGGTCAGTGCAGAACCAGGTCCCCTCTGCCTTTCAATTCCACTCCAATATACTGAAACAAATACCACTTCTAAGATCCAGTTTAATCCAAGGAAAGACTACTTGGGGGATTTCAGACCAGGACAAGAAGTGTGATTTGGCCATCGAAAATCCTCTCTAATTGCAAAAGCAGCAATAGGTTGAATGGAAACGTGGGGGAGGAGGGAACAGAAGGCTAGCCTTTCTATCTCCCAACAGCTTAATTTCTACCTGCGACTATCCCAGTAGTGCAAAGTGCAGGGCACAGGACTGAAAGCTGCTGACAAGGGACATGTAAAAGGGGGAAACAAATGTTGGCTTAATAGAACACTGAAAGGTCCTGCAAAGACAATATTGTGTCCCATACCTTTATGTTGATTCCAAATGCAGCAAGGTCCCGACGCAGGTTGTCACAAGCCTCCAGAAGGGGCTCCCTCTCCAGTAATAACAGCCGTCTCTTTTCTCTCTCTTCCAGTTTGGCTTCCTGGGATTGCACAGTACTTTCTACCTCTGTTGCTTCAGGCACCACACGAGCATAATTGCGCACCTTGATACGGAAATTTACTAGCTCATCAATCACACCAGAGAGCATGACTGGACTTCTTTCTTCCGAAATAACCTATAAGTCAAATGCAGCATTATTAAAGGGCTTTGGAAAGGAGCTAAACAATATTTATTCACCAGCACAAATCCCAACCCAAAGCCCTGGCTACACTCACAGTTGTGCCACTTGAGCTATTCTGATGCAATTATAGCAATACACCATCTACTCCTCCGCAGATGTGACACTTGCGAGTACAGCAGCACAGGTTGGTTATTCCTCTGTATGAAGGGGAATAAACTACCCTGATGCAAGGCATCTTTGTACTGACATAGCTTGGGTCCATAAAGTTATACTTTTGTACTGGCTCACATTTACCACATTTATCTAAATCCAAGGCATCTCCAAATTTAAGACACCCCTCCCCAAATTAACTATTAACAATCCTTCACTAAACTATTCTGGGAGCAGAGGAGCTAAATAGATTAGGCCCACATTGCAAACTACCAGAGGTGAAGTTTCTGCAGTTCAATCTTGCCTTACCTCACAGATACAAAAGAGACTGAACAAGGCAAATCTCTTTCTGCCACACCACCTCTAACAGGTGGGAAACCTGCCAAGATCAGCAACACCAGCAGCTGAGCCCTCTTTAAATCCCTCTCTATATGTCTTAAGTTGGCTGAAATGCCTGCATGAGTTTAACATCCAGCAACAGCCAGGAAGATGACAAATTGAGCCAGCCACTGTGCAACATGCACAATTCTGCTGTTCGTCTGACCTCCTCCTGTTCCTCCCGACTCCCCGACTCATAGTCCATGCACCTGTTGTGTCTAGTTTGTCTGCCGGCACATGAGTTAGCACGGAGTTTGCGCAGGAGGGCCCTGCGTACGAGCCCCCTAAGGTAGGCAGACTCAGGCCCAGCCCACCTACCACGGGCACTCGCCGCACCTCGAGGGTCCCCTCGGTCTGCGACCCCCTCTGGCACCTCAGAGGCCTCCACCCAGACGGAGTCCATGGTTCCAGGCTCCATGCAGACGGGGCCCCTGGCTCTCAGCTGCGCGGACTGCTTGTCCCCTTTTCAAGCTCTGGGGTCCAGGAGCATGGCCACCTCCCCGTGTGGGTTCTACTCCCTTTTGGGGTCTCTGGCATGCCAGATGGAGGAGCTCCAGGCCACAGTCCAGAGACTGCGTGCCATCAGGGACTGTAAGCAGGAGACAGACTCCTACTGCCAGGCCCTTCTCTCCCAGGACCCGGAGGGTAGACCATGGTGTCCCTCCAGGACAAGGAAGGACTCTGGGACCTCCCATTCTGTCCAGTCAGGGGCACGGACCAAGGTGGTCCTAAGGCCCGCCGCACCAAGGCCCCTGCCCTGCTGGAGCTCAGTAACAGGTATGAACCTCTTGCAGCCCGCAGGCAACACAGGCTTAACTGCAGCTACTGCTGCC